AACTAGCCGACTGCTTCATATGCAATAACTTGAGTCGAAGGATATCATTTAAAGCTGAAAAATCAAGTAGGAGGCACTTAAGCATATTTAAGTGGGGGAAGAGTGAAGAACAGGTTATGAGCTAAAATGTTACTTATGAGCCCTGGCTGGTGTAGGTCAGTGGATAGAGTGTCAGCCTGTGCACCGAAGGGTTGCAGGTTTGATTCCAGGTCAAGGGTGTGTACCTAGTTATCAGGTTTGATCTCTGGCCCAAGTCAGGGCAAGTAAGGGAAGCAACCAATTGATGTCTCTCTCACATCAAAGTTTCTCTCATCTTTCCCCATCTCTCCCTCACTTCCACTCTCTAAAAATCAGTGGATAAAAATATCCTCAGCCCTAGCCAGTCTGGCTCAGTGGATAGAGCGTCGGCCTATGGACCAAAGAGTCCCAGATTTGATTACAGTCAAGGGCATGTACCTTGGTTGAAGGCTCCTTCCTGGACTCAGGGCCTGGTTGGGGCTTGTGCAGGAGGCAACCAATCGGTGTGTGTCTCTCATATCAATGTTTCTGTCTTTCCCTCTCCCTAAAAATCAATAGAAAAAAATATCCTCGGGTGAAGATTTAAACAAAAAAAAGTATGGGATTCAGCAAAAGCAATTCTAAGGGGAAAGTTCATAACTAAACAAGCCTACCACAGGAAGCAGGAAAAATTCCAAAAAAACAATCTAACTTTACACCTAAAGGAACTAGAAAAAGAACAAACAAAACCCAAAGTAAGTAAAAGGAAGAAAATAAAGATGAGAGTAGAATAAACAAAATAAAGACTTAAAAAACAATAGAAAAGATCAATGAAACTAAGAGTTGGTTCTTTGAAAGGATAAACAAGATTGGCAAGCATATAGCATCAAGGAAAATGAGAGCCCAGCTGGCATGGCTCAGTGGTTGAGCGTTGACCTATGAACCAGGAGGTCATGATTCGATTGCTAGTCAGGGCACATGCCTGGGTTACAGGCTTGATCCCCAGCATGGGACATGCAGGAGGCAGCCGATCAATGATTTTCTCTCATTATTGATGTCTCTGCCTCTCCCCCTTTCCCTTCCTCTCTGAAATCAATAAAAATATTTTTTTTAAAAAAGAGAGCAAACCCAAGTAAATAAAATCAGAAATGAAAGAGGAGAGATTACAACCGACACCACAGAAATACAAAGGATAATCAAAGAATACTATGTATGCCAACAAACTGGATAATAGAAGAAACAGATAAATTTCAAGAAACATACAACTTTCCAAGACTAAATTTAAAAAAAAAAGACCAATTACTAGCAACAAAATTTAAGCAGTAATAAGAACTCCCAACCAACAAAATCCCAGGACCAAACTAAACTGAGTCTCCTGCATGTGTACTACTATTTGTAATACTTTAAACAAGAAAATAAAATTAAAAAATAATAATGATATTAAATAAAAATAAAGTGAGTCTCCTATAGGCAGCATATAGGTGGGTCTTGCTTTTTTATCCATTCTACCACCCTATATCTTTTGATAGGAACACTTTAGTCCATTTACATCTAAAATAATTATTAGTAGGTATGTGCTGATTGCCATTTGTTCATTGTTTTAGTTTTTGTGGTTGTTTTTCTCTGTATCTTCTTCTTCTGATCTCTTTTCTGCTGATTTGATTTTCTTTTGTGTTTTGATTGAATACCTTTCTCTGTTTTTTATGCATTTTTTGTAGGTTTTTGGTTTGTGGTTACCATGAGGTGTGTGTGTGTGTGTGTGTGTGTGTATACACACTAATAAAAGGGTAATATACTAATTAGACCGGGTTGTTGGGGACATCTTCCAGACGTCTGACTTCCTTCCAGACAAAGTCATGGTGTTGGGGGCCAGGCAGAGGCAGTTAGGGGCGAGATCAGGCTGGCAGGGGAGAGCAGTTGGGGGCATTAGGCAGGCAGGCAGGGGGGTGGTTAGGAGCCCGTGGTCCTGGCACTATAACGTGAGACCGAATGACCAGAATGAAAGGTCGACCAGTCGACCAGTTGCTATGATGTGCACTGACCACCAGGGGGCAGAGACTTAGCGTAGGAGCTGCCCCCTGATGGTCAGTGCACTCCCATGGCCAGCCAACCTTCCCCAGTCCCTCCCCCCCGCCAGTAAACTCGGTGCACGAACTTCGTGCACCTGGCCTCTAGCTGTGTGTGTGTGTGTGTGTGTGTGTGTATGACAGTATTTTAAGCTGATTTTGTATATTTTTTTTTATTGATTTTTTACAGAGAGGAAGGCAGAGAGATAGTTAGAAACATCGATGAGAGAGAAACATCGATCAGCTGCCTCCTGCATATCCCCCACTGGGGATGTGCCCGCAGCTCAGGTACATGCCCTTGACCGGAATCGAACCTGGGACCCTTCAGTCCGAAGGCCGACATTAAGCTGATTTTGGACATCATGTTTTTATTTTCTTGTTTTTTGTATCCCTTGACTATTGTAGTTATAGTTAATTTTGCTATATTGTCTTTTAACCTTCATATTAGCTTTTTAAGTGATTGATTCACTGTGTTTATTGTATACTTGTCTTTACCAGTGAGAATTTTTCTTTCCTGTATTTCCTTATTCCTGGTTATACCTTTTCTTTCCTGCAAATGAAGACCCTTTGACAATTCTTGTAAAGCTGGTTTAGTGGTGGTGAACTCATTTAGTTTTTGCTGGGAAACTATCTCTCCTTCAATTCTGAATGATAACCTTGCCAGATACAGTATTCTAGGTCATTGGTTCTTTTCTTTTAGCATTCTAAATATTTTCTGCCACTCCCTCTGACTTGTAAACTTGCTTCTGAGAAATCAGCTGATAACTTATGGGATTTCCCTTAAAGTTTCTGACTTGTTTCCTTCTTGAGGCCTTGTCCCTTTATCCTTAACCTTTGCTATTTTAATTGCAGTATGTCTTGGTTTAGGCCTCTTTGGGTTCATCTGTTTGGAACTCTGTGCTTCCTGGACCAGAATGTGTTTCCTTTCCCAGATTAGGGACATTTTCAGTCATTACTTATTCAAATATACTTTCTGCTCCTTTCTCTCACTCTTCTTCCACTGGAATCCCTATAATGTGGATGTTAGGGCATTCAATGTCCCAAAAGTCTCTTAATCTCATTTTTAAAAAATTCTTTTTTCAGCCCAGTCACATGGTTCAGTGGTTGAGCATCAACCTGTGAACCAGGAGGTCATGGTTCAATCCCTAGTCAGAGCATATGCCTGAGTTGTGGGCTTGATCCCCAGTGTGGGACCTGCAGGAGACAACCAATCAATGATTCTTTCTCATCATAGATGTTTCTCTCTCTTCCTCTCCCTCCCTCTCTGAAATCAAGAAAAATATATATTTTTTAAAAATAATAATAAAATAAAATTCTTTTTTCATTTTGTTGGTCTAATTGAGTGATTTCCCCTATTCTGTCTTCCAGTTTGCTAATCCATTCTTCTGTATTAACTAATTTGATTTCCGTTCCTTCTAATGTGTTCTTCATTTCAGTTATTGTATTCTTTATTTCTGATTGGTTCTTTATTGCATTTTCTAACCCTTTGTTAGAAATGCTCTCTGAGATTTTCTATTCTACTCTCAACCTTATTGAGCATCCTTACAACCATTTCTTTGTATTCTTTATCAGGCAAATGAGTTATCTCCAATTCATTAGAGTTTTTCTCTGGATTTTTTTAATTGCTCCTTCATTTGGGACATATTCTTCTGCTCCCCATTTTGTTTGACTTTCTGTGTTTATTCCTATGAGTTTGATGAAATAGCTTTTTCTCAATCTGTGTGCCAGATGTTTTTGGTAGGGCAGTTATAGATGGGCAAGGCACGTACCAAAAGGAGTGGGTTCCGGGCAGGGCAACCTAGTGTGTGTTTCCTTGCCCTTTTGCTCTGGGCAGGGCCATCCTGTATGGGTTGCACTGCCCAGTATGTGTGCAATGTGCCCTGTTACTTTAATTGTCTGTTCCCTGAACCTGATCTGGGCAGGGCTACTCTGAGTGCATGTGTTGCAGTATCCCAGTGTCCCCACACTTTCTCTGGTCACATGCAGGTGCTCCCCACTATTTCTGCACTTTGTCTGAATAGGACAGCCTTGCGAACAGCACAGCATTTTGCTGGTTCCACACTCTGGGCAGGGGGTGTGCCGCGTGCAACCCAGCAGGTGCATGCTACCACACCCACCGGATCTCTCTCCAGGTGAAGGGGCCTATTTACATGGGCTGTGGTGCTGTCCTGCTCCTGATGGATCTAGTTCTGGGAGGGGTAGCAGCCCTGCAGCTCAACCAGAGAACTGGGATAAAGCGCCCGCTCCATCCAAGTGCAGGAGAATTGTAAACAATGATGCTCACCAGTCCCTCCATTCCGGACAATTCCCTCAGCGCCCAGAGGACACTCTCAGTTCCCAGCCTTCTCTATACAGTCTTCCTTTCTGTTTTGTGCAGAAGCTGTTCCAGTTGTCTCTTAGATATCACCCAGAGGAACTGCTGTATATATAGGTGTAAATTTAATGTGTCCTTAGAGTCCTCCTACGCTGCCATCTTTGACTGGCTTCCAGATGTCGTAACTTCCAAAGAGAATTTCATCTATGTAAACTATACTATTGGTCAGACTGTATGTGACAAAAGTTTTAGAAATGCTCAGAAGGAAACTCATAACCTTAAATACTATGCAACAAAATGTAAGAAGGAAAATAAATTAATGTCTTTTATCTCAGTCATCTCAAAGTATGCCAGATCCTTCTGTTTTAATTTTATTTATAACATATAAATATAATTTATAGCATGATATAAATTAGAAATTTGGTTTTATTATACTTGAATTTTTTATTATTTTATATGACCTTTATGATCCAGCCTTGCCCTCCCAGATCAGACCTATCCAGGGCTTACTCAACTCATTGGTCTCTGACAGCACAAGGAGGTGGGTCGGGAATGCATCCTTGAGGCCTCGGCCTGGGCAGCAAGCAGCCTCCCTCACTCACAGAGTCCTCCTCCTCCACCAGGGTTACAAGAAGCTGGCTGCACTGAAGCTGGATGACATTAGTCACTGTCTGACAGAGCAGCAGGAGGACTTTGCTAGCAAGACCGCTCAGTACCAGCAGGAGATGCGGTACCTCCATCGGATGCTGCAGGACAAGCAGGATGTCCTGGATGAGGCGCTACAGGAGAAAAGGTAGGGCTGCCCCACCCATATCGCGTGTGTGTTTTTGGATGTTGGTAGAATTTTCCAATAAAACCCTCTAGATCTGTTTTGTTTATTTAATTGCTTGCTTTTGCTTTTGTATTTTAGTCTTATCTGAATTTTTTTTAAACAGAAGGGGCTTTTTAAAAAATATATTTTATTGATTTTCCAGAGAGAGGAAGGGAGAGGGACAGAGAGCCAGAAACATTGATGAGAAAGAAACATCGATCAGCTGCCTCCCACACACCTCCCACTGGGGATGTGCTCGCAACCAAGGCACATGTCCTTGACCAGAATCGAACCTGGGACTTCTTAGTCCGCAGGCGCAGACGCTCAATCCACTGAGCCAAACCGGTTAGGGCTCTGAATTTAATGTTGCTCTTGATTTTTATTTGCTCCTTACTTTGTTTTCTTTTTTAAAATTTCCCCAGCAATTGACATGTGTAAGTTTAAGGTGTACAATGTGATGACTTAATACATGTATATATTGCAAAATGATTACCACAATAAAGTTAAAACATCCTTCGCCTCACATAATTACCATGTTGTTGGTATAGTGATAACATTTAAGATCTACTCCCTTATCTACTCTCTAAGAGAGATCTCATACAGTATCATTAACTGAGGTCACCATGCTATACAGTACATCCCAGCTTCTCATTTGCTTTAATCCCTCCTTGAAAATTTTCTGTTGTTTGAATATTGGACCTTCTAAAGCAACTTACTCCTCTAATTGTCCTTCCCTTTTTCTTCTTTTACATCTCTGATATTTTTGTTTTATTCCATTTTCTTGGGAGATATTATAAATTTTAGATTAAATGTTTTACTTCCTTTTTTTGTATTTATTGCCAAGAACATTAAAATCTCCTTTTTTGAAAGATCATAATGATAAGATTAGAGGTGCATTTTGTTCTCTGTGGATATAAGGTACTATATCAGTTATACCTTTATCCTTTAAACTTGTGATAGACAAAATATTGCCAGTGTATTAAACACATTGGGGAATATCGCAGGCTTTGTGAAGGTGAACGTGTGGTCCCTCACACTTAAGTCCGCCCTTTCCTAATGGCTGTGTTGCCTTTGACAGACTGGAATATAAACTGATGCCTGCAGAAGAAGAATAATGATGCTCAGATGTGATTTTCTTCAAGTTTTAGTAGGATCCATGTATTTGATGCCATGCAGAATGCAGTTATCTGCTTCCCATCAGCCAGATGCTTCTTAATGCCAAGCAAAATGAAGTCTTATCTAACATGGTTTCTGTAGTCATAGAAGTTCTTATCAGTCTGAATAGTCACTTTGTAAAAAGTTGAGACAATATCAAGTTTCTTGCCAAACAGGAGGCTTAGAATTCCATTAGTAGAATGGAACTTTATTTTTTACTTTCTCTACATTCCATTTTTTGCCCTTTAATTGTTTAAAACTTATATATTCTTTGAGAGTTACCCTTGAAATTTCACCCTGGATATTTAACATTAAAAAATATATTTGATCAGCATACCTACATTCTTCCCCCCAAATGCAAGCTCTAATGCTTTAATCTAATTATTTCCCCTTTGGTTTATATGATGATATCTAATATCATTAGATATAACTATGTCATTTTATGTCATTATTTTTATCCATCCCAAATTAAATAATACTATTTTTATATAGTTGTTTATTTTTATTTGCCTACAGTTGGTCAATTTCTTTGCTTGCTAATTGTTAAAATCAAGACAACCAGCCCAAAATAGAATTGCTTATGCTAAGCCCCATGTCATCAAACAAAGACTAAATGTACAATTTCAGCTCTTGCAGAAATGGAGTCTTAAATCAGTCATGTAGGAATCACCTGATTAGCACTAGTTATGTAATCTACCAATAGGCCTCCTTGCAATAACCAGCTGCTTTTTTGCCTCATTTAACTTCCTTGTTCCTGCTCCCTTCTGCCTATAAAACCCTTTATTTTATACAGCTCATTGGAGCTCCTTTCTGTCTGCTAGATTGGATACTGCCCAATTTGAATTGATTTTTGCTCAGAAAAAAAGCCCTCAAAAATATGCCTCAGTTAATCTTTTAACATATTCTTTCTTGCATCTTAGAATAGTTTATTTCTCAGATTAGTTTCCTTCTTCCTAAAATACATTATTTAGAAGTTTATTTAATAAGAGGATGTTGGTAGTAAGCTTTTTTAGTTTTGTTTATCTGAAAACACTGGATTTTGACCCCAGTCTTGTAAGATGATTTTTGCTGGGTATAGAATTCTACATTGACAGGTTTTTCTGTCTCAGCATATCCCATTGCCTTCTCTGTTTTATTTTTGCTGTTCTGTTGTTTTTTATCATTTTTTTAAAAAGTTCGTCTTGTCCTGGCTGCCGTTGCTCAGTGGTTAGAGTGTCATCCCAGGCACTGAAAGGTAGTAGGTTCAATTCCCAATCAAGGGCACATACCTGGGTTGCAGGTTTGATCCCTGACCCCAGTCAGGGCGCATGTGGGAAGCCACAAATTGATGTATCTCTCTCACATTGATGTTTCTCTCCCCCTCCCTCCCTCCTTTCCGTTCTCTCTGAAAGCAATGGAAAAATATCCTCCAGTGAAGATTAACAAACACACACACACACACACACACACACACACACAGAGTAGCAGGTTGGATTATAAGACGAAATCCAACTGTATGCTGCCTTCAGGAGACACATCTCAGCTGCAAGGACAAACATAGACTCAAAGAAGAAGGAAGGAAAATGATACTCCAAAGCAACAAGGCATGCAGCCTGCCAGCCGCGAGTTTGACATGCTTGCTCCAAAGCAAATGGCATCCAGAGAAAAGTGGGTATAGCCATACTTATATCAGACAAAATAGATTTCAAGCTAAAAAAGGTAATGAGACAAAGATGGCATTTTATAATGATAAAGGGGACATATCAATATATATGCACCAATCAGGGAGTACCAAAATAGAAAAAGCAACTACTGATAATAGAACTAAAGGCAGAAACTGACAAAAACACAATTATAGTAGTAAACCTAACTACCCCATTGTTATCTATAGATAGATCATTCAAACAGAAAATCAATAAGACATTAATATTGACTTTAAATGACACATTAGACCAATTGCACATAATTGATATTTACAAAGTTTTCATCCCAAAATACCAGATTATACATTCTTCTTTAGTGCATATGAAACATTCTCAAAGATAGACCATATATTGGGACACAGAACTAGCCTCAATAAATTCAAGATTGAAATCATACCAAGTATATTCTCCAAACACAATGCTTTGAAATTGGAAATTGCACAAAGAAAGAGGGGAAAAAATCACAAATATATGGAGATTAAATAACATGCTACTAAACAATGACTGGGTCAGAGAAGACGTAAAAGAAACAAGAAAAAAAATGCATAGAGACAAGTGAGAATAATATGACATCAAAATTTAGGGAATTCATACAAAATGGTTGTAAGAGAGAAACTTATATCATTACAGGCCTACCTCAAGAAACAAAAATCTCAAATAACATTTCACCATATAGAACTAGAAAAACAGAACAATCAAAGCCCAAACCCAGTAGAAGGGAGGAAATAATAAAAATTAGATCAGAATTAATAAAATAGAAAACAAAAAGACAATAGAAAAAACTAATGCAACAAAGAATTGGCTCTTTGAAAACATTTTGATTAGGAAAAAAAGAGAAAAGGCTCAAACAAACTCGGAAATGAAAAAGAAGTTACAATGGACCCCACAGAAATACAAAGGACTATACCAGAATGCTGTCACATGCTACATATGCCACCAAATTTGATAGCCTAGAAAAAAAAGATAAATTCTTAGAAATGCATAACCTTCTTAGACTAAACCATGAAGATCTGGAAAATCTAAATAGATTAATCATCAGTAAGAAAATTTAAAGAGTCATCAAAAACCTCCCCAAAAAGTAAAAGTCCAGAACCAGATGGTTATACTAGTGAATTCTACCAACTATTTAAAGAAGACATAATATCTATTCCTCTCAAACTCTTATGAAAAATTGAAGAGGCAGTACTTCCTAATTCGTTTTGCAAGGCCATCATTATCCTGAAACCAAAACCTGGCAAGGACAACACACAAAAAAGGAATTACAGACCAATAACTCTGATGAATATAGATGCAACAATCTTAAACAAAATGCTAGCAGGTCAAATACAACAATACATTAAAAAGATAAAGTGGAGTTCATTCCAGGGGCACAGGATGGCTCAACATACTCAAACTGGTCCAATGTGATACATCATAGCAGTAAAATAAAGGATAAAGTCATGTGATCATATCAGTGGAAGCAGATAATGCATTTAATAAGATACTACATCCAGTTATGATTAAAATGTTCAATAGAATGGGTATAAAAAGAAAGTAGCTCACCATAATGAAGGCCATATATGACAAATCCTCAGCTAATATACCGAATGTTGGAAAACTGAAAGCTTTTTCTCTAAAATCAGGAATAAGATAAGGATGCCCATTCTTGGCATCACCACTCTTATTCAGCATAGTGCCGGAAGGGGTAGCCAGAGCAATCAGGCAAAAGAAAGAAGTAAAGGCATCCAGATTAGGAATGAAGAAGTAAAATCATTAACTTTTTGCAGATGACATAACTCTTTAACATCAAAATGCTATTAGAGCCCTGGTTGGTTTGGCTCAGTGGATAGAGCATCGCCCTGCGGACTCAAGGGTCCCAGGTTTGATTCCGGTCAAGGGCAGGTACCTTGGTTGCAGTCACATCCCCAGTGGGGGGTGTGCAGGAGGCAGCTGGTCAATGTTTCTCCCTCATCAATGTTTCTAACTCTCTATCCCTCTCCCATCCTCTCTGTAAAGAATCAATAAAATATATTAAATTTTAAAAAAAGCTATTAGAAACAAATGAAAAAAATACAGTAAAGTTATAGGATACAAAATCAATGTACAAGAACCATTGCCTTTGTATATACTAAGAATGAAATTTCAGAAAAATGAAAAAAACTTTTTCATTTGCAATTCCATCAAATAGAATAAAATTCCTAGGAATAAACTTAAAGGATGTGAAGGACCTATACACTGAAAAACCACAAAAGGACTTTTAAAATATCCATGATGCCATCATTACATTTCTATTATACAACTCATTAATATCATATATTTTTCTGTACTGCATTCTGGGTGATTTTCTCTGCTCAATATTCCAGTTTACTAATTCTCTCTTTGGTCGTATCCAATGTACTGTTTACAGCTGTCACCAACCGGTGGTCCATGAGGTCTGAAAGGTTGGTGACCGCTGGTTTAGCACATTCACTGGGTTCTTTTCCTGATTGTCTCAAAAATGGCTTTTTACTCTTGATACACTACAGTCAGGGCCTGGGGATGCCCAATCATGGGGAACAATATAGATTCAAACGCCAGATGTATTTGCAAACGGAAGACTCTTAGCCTCACAGGAGGTTTCTTTTGAAGATTGGCAGGTTTCCCACCAAACCATCGTGTCTGTGAGGGTTATCCTTGTGCCTCCATTTCCCTGCCTAATTCTGGAGCACGTAGTTCAGGGTGTATCTAGGAAGAAGAGGAAAAACATGGAGTTTGGGGTTTGGTCACACCCAGTTTTCATGGGCCCAAGACCTGCTCTCCACTCCATAGAAAGCTGGGTTCTTGCATGGGCTTTGGCCTCAAAGAAATACCAACATTTTGTTTACCTACCTCTGTGGTTTCAGCTTAGTCTTCAGTTTTTCTGCCCTTAGAGACTTCCTATTGTTTGTTTTTAGTTTAGCCATACATTTGTCCTGATTCGTTGCTGTGATTTGTCAAACATCTAGGTGTTTTTGTGCTAGAAACAAAAGCCTGGAGTTTGGGGGGACATGTTTACTTAAGTAGTGCCCAACCCTCAGTGGGCATCATGGGACTTGGAAGGAGTAACAGTTCATAAGAAAAGTGAAAACTGAACAAGTGGGCATGTCACTGGCCTCCCTGAATCTCAGTGTTTCCTTCCTTAAACAACAGTGCTAAGCCCACCTGATAACCCAGTTTCTAACATTTTCCATAACATTCTCCCACTGTCTATGAAGCTGGCCTCCCCACAGTCCCCCAAAGGGCTCATCATCCAGGGAAGCGGGGGCTGATATCCTGGTCTGTTCCCTCAGGGGACCACGGCCCTGTGAGGACATGGATACCTTTGTCTGCCCTGTTTCCTGAGCCCACATGGTGCTTGTCACGCAGTCCTTGCTCAGGAGAATCTGCTTCATTGTCCTTTCCTTTTCTCAGGCCTGTTTCCCTTGGGCACTCACCCTCTTGGCACATGGTCTCGGCCAGTAGTCTCTGTGTCCTCCATTATGAGCCCCATCTCCCTATGGTTCCCTCCTTACCTCGTACTAATTCTGTTTTTTAAATGATTGATTCCAGAGAGGGAGGAAGAGAGAGAGAGAAACATCAATGTGAGAGAGACATCGATTGGTTGCATCCCGTACACGTCCTGCGTGGGAATCAAACCCTGCAACCCAGGCATGTACCTGATAGGCATGTGCCCTGACCAGGAGTCGAACCCACGATCTCCTGTGCACGGGGGACACTCCAACCAGCTGAGCCACCAGGCCAGACCCCTCACTAATCCGTTATGTCTGGGCCCGCAGTGGCTCAATGGTGGGTGCCTGTGAAAGGTGCCTGAGTGTTGGCCAGGTCACAGTGGGGACGGGCAGAGGGGACAGAGGAACAGCCTACAGGGCGCACAGTACATGGGTGCTCTCGGCCGGGCCACTGTGCTGAATAGGTCAATCACTTCAGTTATTGTATCTTATGTTTGTGCAGTATAATTCTGTAGAAAAACACAGAATAGGTACATTGATGTCAACGTGAAGGCAATGGCAACATCTGGCGAGGAAAGGTAAGAAGTTGTGTTCAGCCGGTGCCTTAGTCTTCCTTTCTGTTTCCAGGGGACCTCGGTGTTTCGTGCAACACTGGGAGTCCCGGCTTCCCAACCGGAGCCCGCTGGGCTCTGTTCTGTGGTGCAAGCGAACCTCCATTGAGTGCTTGCTGCCTTAGGACCCATGGGCCATCCAAGCATTTTAATTGTGTGGCTTTAAACTTTCCCTGTGTTTCGGTTGTTTCTCAGAGCAGTGGAAGGGGAACTTGAAGTGGTTTGGGAGTCTACCTCCAAGGAAAACCGAAGAATCCGAGAACTTCTCCGCGCGACGCTGGAGAGGACGGGCGTGTGGACCGGCACCAGCGCCTCCGAGGATCCCCGCCTCGAGGGCCTCGCTCAGGGCGACGTGCTGGATGGCTGCAGCCTCAGCTACTGTGACATGAAGCCGCCTCCCTCCCCCCGCCAGGGTCTGCAGGAGCCCCTGGGCTAGGACCTGGGCCCGAAAAGTCTGCCTTGCCCGGAACAGGGAAAGGCAAACTCCCACCTAACAGTGTTTTCCTCTCAGGGCCAGGAAGAAATAAACTGTCTCAGCTTAATTCCCGTTCTACATTCTGCTTTACTTTAACAATGAGCTGCTACACTCTGTTAGCCAGGGCGGGTCTTCTTGCCACACTGCCACTGAGAATGGCTCGTGAGACCCCCTGCTCGGGTAACGGCCCGATGAGCTGGCCCGTCGCCTGGCTCCTAGAAAGCACCGAGGGAATGGCCGGCGGGACCAGCTCACGTGCTGTGTCAGGTCAGTCTATTGGCTGTGCCCAGCAGGGGAGCAGCAGCGAGGGTCTCTGTGTATCAGCTCTGGGTAGCATTTTGTTGTTCGGTAGAAATCAGGTGCTGGTAGCCATGCAGCGGTAAGTTGTGCAAAACGTGTTGCGCCCTTTCTCTAAGCTTTCTCTCTCCCCCCGGGAAGGTACTTCTTCCGGGGTCACACAGTCCCTCCCCTTTGAGAGCCTCACTTTGAGCACCAAGGCAGGGCCCCTTCCATGGCCACACCGAGAAGGACCCCGGAGGCTGTGGTTCTGCTCCGCTCTGTGCCACCTGCCCAGTTAGACAGTCCCAGCCTCTCGGGACCAGCCACTGGTCTGGTGATGCCAGCTGACAGGCTGCTGTCCCCGGTACTGAAAGATCCCGGACAGCAGGCCCCAGAGGCAGTGGTGCAGAGGGTGGAATCCTGGGGCACGTTTTACAAAACCCCTCCTCGCTGAGGCCTGTGTTGTTCAGATGAGCAAATAAGCCCTGGCATTGTCCTTGGTCATCTGTAAAAGTTACATCTGAGCGCTTTGATTGCTAGATGGAAAACTGAGATAGAATATCCTAGCTCTTTTACATTTTTATTAACGACAATTGTAATTTACTGTCATTTTCAAGGGGTAGAAAGACTCACCAGGAGTTAGAGCTACATGATAACTTAGCAATAGCTTTGTTATTTCAAGGGAGTTTGCCAACAATCCGTAGTCAGGTGAGAGGTGCAGCCCGCAGTCCCACCTCCCGGACTGTGTCGGAGGGTGGCTTGTCTGTGGGAACACTGCCATCGTCCCCACCTAGACAGCCACTTCGGTCCTCCTGGATTTTCCTGCCTCCATGAGAACATCTTCTTCCCTGAGAAGTGAACGTTTTTACATTTCTGCCTTGTTTACTACACACACAAATGTACTTTGCAAGGGCAGGCAGCTGAGGCAGGGAACAGGCTGTCGGACGCTTTGGGAAGGGACAAATGCCCCAGGCCTTGCAGGATGGACCAGGGTTCGGGAGCTGGAGCAGGACAGAGGGAGGTGCGCAGAGGCAAGAACTCAGGAGCAGAGGAGGGGTTTGGGCCCTGGAAGTTGGGGTGGCAGTGAGGCCAGACTGGTCCACGGAGACCTGGGCCTGCTGGGAGGGA